TTTTAAAGATTTATTTATTATATATACAATGTTCTGCCTGTATGCATGCCAGCAGGCCAGAAAAGAGGACCATATCTCACTATAGATGGTGTGAGCCACCATGTGGTTGTTGGGCATTGAACTCGGGACCTCTGGAAGAGCAGCCAGTGCTCTTAACCACTGAGCCATCTCTCCAGACCCCAGTTTAAAAACTTTAAGAATTACTTTTCCAAAGATAACTGAAATCAGCTTAAGCCAAGAACACAACTATCATCCCAATGTGAGGGGGATGAAGGCGAGCATCAAGAGTCCAAGATTATCCCTGACTATGTAATAACTTTGAAGCTTTCTGAACCTACAGGATACCCTGTCTCAAAAGTTAAGAAAAATCCAGGTGGGTTTCCACACATTTTAAATCCCAGCACTCAGGAGGAAGAGGTAGGTGGATTGGTGGATCTCTGGGAATTGGTGGCCAGCCTGGTCTACATAGCAAGTTGCAGGCCAGCCAGGGTTGTTACATGGCATGACATTATCTAAGGAAAAAAAAAAGGGGGGGTGCAAGAAAGAAAGAGGACAGTTAAAGAAAGGAAATGTAATCTTAGTGGCTTCCAGCTCAGCAGCAGAATGTTTATGTAAGTCACAATACATAAGGTAAACACTGTTTGATGGATTTCCATTCTTAGCATCAACAGACAGACAAAGCTTGGAATACACAATAAAGATGGACACAAGTAAACACAGCAGCATCCACATGACCCAAAAAAAGTCTGGGAGAAAAGGGGAGGGTGGCAGATTCAGGGTCAGCGAACAAATTTCCTAAATTTCTCATTTCCTGACTGGAATAAGTGAGGAATCCTATAACAAGAGCTAGAAATGTTTTCTGTAAAAGTCCAGATAATAAATACATAGGGGCTTTTATGGGGCTGGAGAAATGGCTCAGCAGTGAACAGTACTTACTGCTCTTGCAGAGGATCCTAGTTCAGTTTCCAGCACTTACTTGCACAATAACTCACAATTGTAATTCCAGTTATATGGAATCCAATGCTTCTTTAGACATCCACAGGCTACTAAATGCAGATAATGCCCAGACATCCATTCAGGAACACACACACACACACACACACACACACACACACACAAGAGAGAGAGAGAGAGAGAGAGAGAGAGAGAGAGAGAGAGAGAGACTGGAACAACTCAATTTCTTTAAAACCACTGAACAGGATGAACTTCTGTGTCGGGTAAACTTAGATTACTTCCCTCGGCTTGTACCTTGGAGTGGCCTTTTAAATATCTTGTAAATAAATAAATAAATATTGGTTTCTTATATCTTAAGCTTCAGGTATCCTAACTTGCACTGGCTTTTTTAGGCCACCTCAGAGGACCCTAAAAGTTGGTTCACCTATTATATATTTCTGCAAGATTTATAAAAATCAGACCAGTTGTGATAGTTCATGTCTGTAATCTCAGGACTTGGGGACCTAAGGTAAGAGGATGGCTGTGAGTTTGAAGTCAGACACAGAGAGGAGACCTTGCTTCAAAAACAAATGAAAACGCAACAAAAACAAACCCCAAAAGCTGGGTATAATTGCGTGTGCCTTTAATCCCAGCACCCAGGAGGCAGAGACAGGAGAATCTCTGTGAGTTTGAGGCCAGCCTGGTCTGTATAGAGAATACCAGGCCAGCCAGGTAACATAGTGAGACCCTGCCTAAAAAGAAAAAGAAAACAAACAAAACGAAATTAGTTATTGAGATCCAACTAAAAGAAGATGAGTTGAGGAAGCTTTTATTTTATTTTCTCTTTAATGACTACAGTAAGTAAACTTCAGTGGTTTCCTGCTCTTGCTATTCATGTCTTTGTGTTGCCTTTTGACTAGGCATTTAGTGACTGAGTGTGTGTGTGTGTGTACATGAGCAGCCTTCACTTTCTGTGAAGTTGGCCTTGAACTCTGGATCTTCTTGCCTCCACCTCACAAATGCTGGGGTTCAGATGTGCACCACACCTTACTTAGTGATTAGGTTCTAACGAATGGCTAAAGTGGTGGGCAGCATGGCCATCACTAGCTTAGTAGGGAAACCAAAGGCCACCAACAAGTGAGTGGATTTGGAAGTAGATTCTTCCCTTGTTGAGTCTTCACAGGAGAACTCAGATCCTAGGCTATCTGCTTGACTCTGCTTGACTAGACTATGGCTATTTTGAGCTGTCTTATGATTCAGATCTTATATTCTGTTTATTTGAATCTTGCTGGGATCTCAGGATGGCATTGAATCAAAGATGCTCTTGCTTTAGCCTTATATATACAGGGAGTCCATACCTGTACCACCATGTCCCACTGGTTTAGATCTTAAATGTCCCCTGAAGGGCATATATTGAGGCATACATTGAAGGCTTAATCAAGGTTAGGTGGTGGGAAGAACCTTTACAACGTGGGGCCTAATAGGATCCGGGCACTGAGAGCATGCCTGTGCAGGGGATATTGGAACCTCCATCATTTCCTCTTTTGGTTCCTATTCATCATGAGGTGAGCAGATCCCCTCTGCCGAGCACCCTCTGCTCTGCCACAGCCCTGGAGCACCAGGGCAAACAAGCAAAGCTAGAAAACTAGAAACCCTGAGTTAAAGTGAAATTTTTCTTACAAGTTGGTTTGTTGGGGTTCTTTGGTCACAGCATGGAAAGTCATGCGAGGCAAGTTGTAACAACAGGATTGCTCCAGATTACTCTGTCTGCTTTCCTGGTGAACCATAAGCAGGTAAGAACAGCTAAGGTGCTCTGCGGAGTTTATGATCAGACTCTGGCACCAGCGATGTGCTTAACTCTTCCCATTGGTCTAAGGCAAACTGGGTGCATTTGACCCAGCAGAAATCACTTTGTCCTAACTGAAACACACACCCTCCTCCCAGGGGTCTTCTTGCTCCTGCTATTTCTCAGGAGTACATTCTGTCAGCAAATCTGACCCTCCTCCCAATAAACTGCATGTTGTACAGTCTTGGAGCTGTCCTGTTTTCCTTGTAGCTCTTTTGTGAACAGCCTTGATTATGCACTGTAAAAGTCGGGTCCTCAAACAAAACAAATGAAATCCCTTGATCCTGCCTATCCTTCTTCAACCTGGTCCCATGATGCACTAGACCAAGCTCACATGTTAGTCTATTAAATTACCATCTACTTCTGTTGAGAATTCAGGGATATTCTGAACCATTTTGTAAGTAGCAAGTCCTTGCTACAGGAATGAATCTATGATCAGGGTCCTCTGGAAATACATAGAAGCATGCCAAGCAGCAGAAATGAGGAACAGTAGTAGTTAAGGGGCTTGGCATACCTGACCTCTAAGGCAGTGTTAGCCCACCTGCATCTTGGAGCTGGCTGGCCTGTGTTCCAGTACCCATTCTACAGTCTGTTAACTGTGTGACTTGATCTTTCAGCTCAGTGCCTCTGTTTCTCCGTCTACATAACAATAATGAAGACATTAGTTGTATCTGACTTACAGGATTATTTAATGCAGTGGTGGCTCATGCCTTAAATCCCAGCACTCAGGAGACAGAGGCAGGTGGATCTCTGTGAGTTTGAGGCCAGCCTGGTCTACAAAGAGAGTTCCAAGACAACCAGGTCTACACAGAGAAACCCTGTCTCAACTCCCTCCCTCCCCCAAAAAGAAAAGAAAGAGGTGTAGATACATCAGGCCCATCTCTACCACTTCTACCTACAACTCCTGGCCTATAGTCCCTTTGTCACACTCCCTGGATCATTCCACAGCCGCTTCTCTCTTGCCATCGGGGTCTCAGCTCAGATGTCATCTCCTCCAGGATCTTCCCTGAAACTACTCTCCATCACCCCAACACCATTCTGTGTCACAGCCTTTGCTGGGTGCGTTTTCTCCATAAGTGTAACCTCACTTTATCTTACATATTAATTTGCTAATTTTGGAGTCCACTCAAGTCAACATAGGCCTCCTAAGGTGAAGGGTACTTCTTACCTTGTCTTTTTTTATCCCCGAGAACTGAGCATGGCACGTAAGAGATGGTCAATAAGCAGGCACAGAACGGAATCAAACCGAGACACTTGGCTGGTCAGTGAAATGCCTTTCTTGTTGACTCTCTGCCTTTTGACCTCTTACTGTACCCTCTACACAGCTCCAGCCATGCTGACCCCGCCCTACCGTCTTTCCCAGCCTGCAACGGCAACAGCTACAACTGCTCTGGTCCACTGCAAGCACAGATCTCTAAGAAGCTGTGCAGGGGCCATCACACTCCAGGCAGGCCTTGCATCAGGTCTCTAAGCTCTAGTTCCAGTAGAACCGACACCTGTTCTTAGTACCATTGCATCCAGCACTATCCCCATACAAAACCGTATTTATAGGCCATTGCTCGTTCAAGCCTTAAGAGCCTCAGGATAACGCCACCAACCTTTATTGAGGGTTTCGAATGTAGCTGGCACTTTGCTGGGTGAAAGTTGTGGACATGCCAAGTGCCCTTCCACCTTCGAGTCCCCAGAGTCATTCCACCTCCCATGGTCATCGTGGCAGTTTATGTCTGGGCAGGTTGTCATACATGAAGGAAGAGCATTGCACAGTTGTCAAGAGAGCCTTTGCCCCGGCTTGAGCTCCAACCCCAGCAATGGTCTGTCCTTGTCCTCGCCTCTCCAGCATCATGCAAGACAGGTTCTCATCAGCAGAAACTGTAGTTGAGGCTGGGCAATGCCACTAGCTTTCTCTTCCCTCCACTGTTTCTGAAAGGATCAGTTTAGATGACGTGAATCCCAGGATGGTCACCACCGGCTGGCCTGGGACTTGTTCTGCAGCCTGAGGTTGGCATGATGACAATTCACGTTGGGAGATAAGCACAGCAGACATAGATTATAGAGGTCAATGTTGGGATGGGAAAAATAGCCACAGACTGCAGAGGGTCTTGCATCCCAGCTACTTAGTTCTTCAGTGTCTTGCCAGGACATTTGACTGTTTCATAACATTATCCTTCAACTGTCATGGAACCCAGAGGGACCCAAGAGACCCAGAATCCATGGCCGCCACATTCAGCAGAATTGCCTTCCTAGATACATATATACATGGACACACATGAACACATGTTCTCTGAGACACACTCTGGATTCTTCTAGAAGAAAGGAAGTAGTTTGAAAGGGCATAGGAAGTAGCCCAGAAATAGAAGTATTAGATTGATTTAATACTTCCTCTACTCAAAGGGTAGGATCAGTGGCTTCTGAAGAACCAAGTAGTGTGACCCCTGGTCTCTGGAGCCCAAATCACCATCTTCTTTGGCTGAATGGGTTCCTGCCCATCCCTAGTGTCTACCGAACTACTCCATGGTGCCATTTCTCAACGCATTGCCCCGGGTTCATCTTCCTTAGTGATACCCGATAGCTAGGGTCTTGGCTTTGGCCACTCCGTACTTAGCTCTGTCTCCACTGGCAACACATTCAAGCCATTATCGTTCTTTCTTGTTGTGGACTCAGATGGCCTGTTTCTTTAACTGCTCTGTCCTGAAGCTCTGTGGTCTCCTGGTTGCCACTAGAGGTAGTGCTTCCACTGACAGCAAACAGATGATAGATGGATATGGATTGATAGGCAGACTTCGTCTTCTCCATGCTGCTGCCAGTGTCCCAATCTGCGCCCCCTCCCTAGCCTGCGTTAGGGTTGAGGGGTATCAGAGGTGCCTGAAGAGGGTCCCACAGCCTCAAGAAGCTTCTGATGCTGCCGAAGATGCTTTCTCCTTTCATGTTCTCCAGTGACTTCACACACCAACTGGGCAGGGAAGGCTCCAGGAAGCCCCTTAAGCCAACCTAGAGAAAGAAAAACAGGCTTGTGGGGGAGCAGGGACAGAGGTTAGGTGACTGGGGAAGGAGGCCCCTGGGGTCTCAGGTCCTGTGGGTTGGGGATCAGTGGAGAAGCCGAGTGGAACATTCGACTTCAGTCACTACCACTCCTGGAAGTGACACCAGCATCTAAGAGGGTCTGTGGCTGTTCTATGTTGGGTCCTGCAATGACTGCTTCTGTTACTCAATCAGAAGAACTTCTGGGCTTGAGAGCTGCCTCAGCAGTTAAGAGAAATCAGTGCCCTTCCAGAGGACCCAGGTTTGATTCCCAGCACCCACAGCCATCTGTAATTCTGGTTTCAAGGGATCCAGTGCCGCCTTCTGACCCTGGCAGGTGCCAGGTATGCACATGTGTACAGATATACATGCAGGCAAAATACTCATCCACATAAAATAATAAAACAGGTAAATCTAGAAAAATAAATCTAAAAAAAAAAGAATTCTTGTAAGGGGATGCAAGATCTTATCTGTTATCACTGTGATCTCATTTGCTCCCAGCCCCATTTCTGGATCAGTCTAGGTACACTGACCTCCTTACAGTTCCTTTATTGCATAACAGGTCCTAGGCCTTTGCCCTGCTTGTGCCTTCCAGCTGGTCCACTCTTCGTACAGGCATCAAATACCTAGACTGAGGACCTCCGTCATGCGCACACATTGCCTCCTAGTGAGGTCTATCTCACCCTAACTACTGGAGATCCTACCAAACCCTAGAACTCCCTCCTTTCTTACTCTATCCTTTCTTCCATTGCATTCACCCCTTTCTAACATACTACATAAAATTTATACGTACTTATCCCATTTAGACTCGTTTTGTTTGAGACAGTGTCTTGCTATCTAGTTATGGCTGGTTTAGAATTCACTATGTAACCCAATCAAGCGGCAATCTGCAATCCTCCTGCTTTGACCTCCCTAGACCTGGGACTACACATATGAGCTATAAAATAAATTTACAGTACTTGAAATTCTTTTTTGAGAAAGGGTCTCAGCCAGGCAGTGGCAGCCCACATCTTTAATCCTAGCACTCGGGAGGCAGAGGCAGGCAGTTCTCTATGAGTTCAAGGCCAGCCTGGTCTACGGAGTGAGTGCCAGCACAGGCTGTCTTGGAAGGTGTTGATGGCTTTTTTTTGTTTGTTTTGTTTTGTTTTGTTTTTGAGACAGGGTTTCTCTTTGGCTATTGGAGGCTGTCCTGGAACTAGCTCTTGTAGACCAGGCTGGTCTCGAACTCACAGAGATCTGCCTGTCTCTGCCTCCCGAGTGCTGGGATTAAAGGCATGCGCCACCAACGCTTGGCTGTGTTGATGGCTTTGAACACAGCTCCTGGGAACACTCTGGTGGAGTATGGGTAACATTACAATGGGACCCTCATTCTTTTTAGTTGCCATCCCATATCCCCCTTAAGACTCACAGGACAGCTAGAGCTATACAGAGAAACCCTACTAAAGAGAGAGAGAGAGAGAGAGAGAGAGAGAGAGAGAGAGAGAGAGAGAGAGAGAAAGGATCTCATTATGTAATTCACTGGCCTGAAACTCACTGTGTAGACCAGGCTGGCCTTGAACTCGCAGAGATCTGATTGCCTGTGCCTCTCAAATGACATAACAGAGACCAACATCAGTGCCACCATGCCTGGCTCACTTAGCCTTCACTGTCTGCTTCCTCTGTTAGAAAGTGTACTCCAGGGCTGGGGTACAGCTCATTAGTACAGCACTTGCCTATCATGTGTAAGGCCTGGACTCGATCCCAGTACCGGAGCATGAAACATCATGTGTCCGGCTCTCGGTGTTCAATGAATATTTGTTGAATGAGTGTATGAAAGGTTCTCTCACCTTCAGGATTCTTGTGTGGATGCTTGCGGGGGACCTTGGAATCCAGACTTTGCCCCTCTGTCTTGGAAGGTGTTGATGGCTCTGAACACAGCTCCTGGGAACACTCTGGTGGAGTATGGGTAACATTACAATGGGACCCTCATTCTATTTTGTTGCCATCCCATATCCCCAGCAAGACTCACATTTCTTTCCCTCCTCCCTTTGGGAGATACTTACCACAGTCCTCATAGATGGTGTCTGGGGAACAGGGAAGGGGCCCTGGGGTGGGAAAAGCTCCTAGCCAGCGCTGCATGTCTGACCTAGTGGTGAACACAGGAGGGGGTTTACAGTTGGCCCAAGAGACACTCCTGGGGGATGAAATAGGGGCCATAGTGGAGAAAGAAGAACAATAGACTATAGAGTCTGGGAGGTTTGGCGACGGTCCTAAGGGTGGCTTGCCTGTTTGCAAGCTCGGTCAAGGCACCCAGGCGGGCCTCAAACTCATGGTCCCTCTACCTACCTCAGCCTCCCCAGTGCTCAGATTGTAAAAGTATCCCACCATACTTGTTTGTTCTCTTCTGCAGTGCTGGGGGTTGAATCCCGATTTCTCATTGCACACTAGGCAAACTCTCTACCACTGAGTCACATCCCCAGCCCCCAACAGTATTTTCTAGAAACATGACTCACAGTGAGGCTGCTTGGAGTAGCCTGTGGGTGGGGCGGCCCTGGTGGTTGCTTAGAAGAGAGAGGCGGAATGTAGGGGGTCCAGATGGGTCAGGAACCTGCTGGGCCTGCACCAGGGAGCGATGGGCATAGTCCAGAACCTGCAACCGCTGCCCACTACCCAGGGAAAAGGGCGTTCAGAGGAGAGCAGGCATGTCCTGCTAGGTGTCTCTTCCCTACCCCAGCTTGGGCTTCTTCCCCTCCCACGCAAGACCCACCTCTTGGGCTGAGTGATAAGCAGCAGATCACTGAAGAGCAGCAGACAAAGGGGTGTGAAGCGGGGACGGGAGTTGAAGAGCACACCCCCCCTCCGACATCCCAACTCTGTCAGTTCCCCCTGCAATTCCAGGCGACGTGACCAGGAGACCAGGGGTAGAGCCTGAGAGGAAAAGGAGAAGGGTTTTTAGCCTTACACCATGGTGAGGAAAGGAAAGATGGAGAGAGTCTGGGCAGGACTAACCTTGACCTTGTGGAAGCGCAACCTTTGGGTGAGTCGGATCAGCTCTTCGGTCTGCTTCATGCGCCCCACCTCAGCGCTGCAGCGCTCAATGATCTGGTGAGGGGAATCGAGTCACCCATCCCAGCAGCCACCTGTCTCCGTCCGCTTTACCACTTGGCACCTCATCCCTCCTCAGCTTCCATCCTACCCACCTTGCTCACAGCACCCAGGGCCTTCTGGGCATTCTCCTGGCGACTGGATCCCTCCTCGGTCTGGCCTAGGATATTCTGTAAACAAAGCGGAAGGGTGACTGAGATCCTCCATTCCCCTGAGATTCTGAGGTGCTGTGGACCCTGCCCAGATTTGCCAAATGTTCCATTTAGGATTCACAGGGCCCCCAAGAAAACCCTCGGCAAGGTCATGAGACCTACCAGCTGCCAGAGGCTGAGCAAGTCATATTACTTACTGCTCAGAGCCTCACTTTCCCCATTTATAAGATGGAGCTAATATCTACTTAGCGTGTTAATAATATTGTGAGGATTTGAGATGATATGTAAAGAGGATTCAGCATAGTCCTTGGCACACCGTAAATGCTGGGGTTAGGGGAGGCTTCTTCTTCTTCTTTTTTTTTTTTTTTCCTAATAATTACTAGCCTAACAATACAGCAGGGCAGTTAGGAATGCCTGGATTTCCATTTATTTCATTCTTAGTGTGTATGTTTTTCTGAGATTGCATTTTTGCTAAGCAGCCCTGACAGGCCTTGAACTCTGAATCTTTCTGCCCACCCTCTGGAACGCTGAGATTATAGGCATGCACCACCACACCTGGCTCCATCCATTATTTTTGCATGGCCTAGGCCAAGTTATGCAAACTGTACCCAGTATCCTCCTTTATAACGTCATGTAAACAATGGTTCCTGTTCTCACACACTTGTCACTGGGTTTATACAGGTATAAAACACTTAGAACTGGGCCTCGAACAGCACTCTCAGCAATCACTGAGTTAGTATGGTGTCATTGTTATCATGTTGTCTACATGGAGGCCAGATAAAGCTAAATAAAACTTAAGGAAGTTGGGTTAGAAGTCAATGGTAGGGTGTTTGTTTAGCATGAGTAAGGCATCAGTTTGATCCTCCGATAAACACACACACACACACACACACACACACACACACACACACAATAAAAAAAGAAGATAGTCTATACACACCTGTTATCCCAACACTCAAGAAGCTGAGGCAGAAGACTGCAAGTTTGAGGCTGGCCTGAGCTGCATAGTGAGTTCTAAAAAAAACACAACAAAAACAAACAAACAAAAACAAAAAAACCCAACAGCAAAAAACAAAGCCAACTATCTGAAAAGAAAAAGAAAAAAATAGTAGTAGTAGCATCTAGTTGGCCACTCTTCACATTAAGAGTCCAATTCTGGGGGGATGGAGAGATGGTTTAGGGGTTAAGAGCACTGGCTGCTTTTCCAGAGGACTTGGGTTCAATTCCCAGCACCCACATGAGAGTTCACAACTGTCTGTAACTCAGTTCCAGGGGTTCTGACACCCTCACATATACGTAGATGCAGGCAAAACACCAGTGCACATAAAATAAAAATAAATAAACTTTAAAAAAAATTCCAATGCTGGGCTGGAGAGATGGTTCAGAGTTTAAGAACACTGGCTGCCCTTCCAGAGGTCTTAAGTTCAATTCCCAGCAACCAATACGGTGGCTCACAACCATTTATAATGGGATTTGGTGCCCTCTTCTGGCATGAAGTCTCTGTCTGCAGATAGTGTACTGGTAGACATACATACAAACATACCAACACATACATACACACCATACACATACAAATAGATGTAAAAGAAGTGTCTGTAAAACCTCCATTTTTTTCCCTCAGTATTATTTAACTAAGGAACTTTTTTATTTATTTAAATTTTATTTAGTTAGTTGCACTGGAGATTATATCCAAGGCCTAGTCCAGTACACTCTAGGCAAGCTGTCTACCACTAAGCTACAGTGGTGGCTGCCCAGCCAGCCACCATAAAAACTGAATTGTTTGTTTGTTTGTTTTTTTGAGACAGGGTTTCTCTGTGTAGCTTTGGAGCCTATCCTGGCACTCGCTCTGGAGACCAGGCTGGCCTTGAACTCACAGAGATCGCCTGCCTCTGCCTCCTGAGTGCTGGTATTAAAGGCGTTTGCCACCAACGCCCGGCAAAAACTGAATTTTATAGAAACACTATAAATCTATGTATTTACCTTGGTCCCTTGAAGTTCACAAGCACTGGAATAGCTAAGGTTTATTTCTTCATTCCTCCCCCAAACCACTGTTTATCCCTCTGGAGATCTCAACTAGTTAGAGTCTGAGCCAAAGAAAGTCTAGAAGGCTTTGTCATTTAGGGAGCTGGGATTGGGAGATATTGCCCTGAGAGAATGTCTGTGGTCACGGTGGGATATGAAATGATAATGATGATAACTAGACCAGAGGCCTTGGAGAGAATTTCCATGGCAGGGTTGGTGGGAGGAGACAGGCACTAAGTACCTGCAGCAGCATCCGGAGCCGGGTGATACGCTGGAAGGGCAGGAGCAGGAAAGATGGCAGTGGGAGCCGCTCACATTTGGGGAGGCTCTGCAGCCTTCGCAGCTCCGCAGAGAAGCGCACATTAGTGTCCCTATAAAGAAAGCCCAGATGCCTAGGGGTTCCCTCAAGTAGGGTCCTGAACCCTGGCCTCAGCCTTAACATGACTTCACAGGTTCCTCTAACTCCGGGATACAGAAGTCCCCCTTCTCTGTAGCTTTGCTTTCGAAATTTCAATTACCCAACGCCATTAAATGGAACGTTCCAGAAACAAACAATTCATACATTTTCAAGTGAGTGCCTTTCTGACTAGCAATGATAAACTCTCAAGATGCCCCACCCTATCTCACCTGGAACACTAATATAATCCCTTTGTCCAGTGTACTCATGTATATATACTACCCACCCATCAATCACTTAGTAGCTGCCCTATCTTGTCAAACTGACTGTGGTGGTGTCATGGAGTTGTGTCTATGTAATCTTTAATTCACTTACTAACGTCCACAAGGTGCAAGAGTAGCAATGCTGACAGTTTTATTACATTACATTGCTCTGATTTTTCTATTATTAGCTATTGTTAATTAGCTACTGGGCATAATTCATAAGTCATTTTCTTAGATACGAACGTATAAGGTTTAGTACTATCCACCAGTGGTCTTGGAACACATTCCAAGGGAAAGGAGGAAATCACTGTACTCACATAAGGCGACTGTAGGTCTCCTCCTGATACTGCTGGTTCCGTACATAATCCACATACACTGAGAAAGGACCAACTGCATGGGCATGCACCACATCACACAGGTCACTGATGTGTGGGGAAGAACGAACACGGGACAGTAATGTTCCTAGAAACCTGAAAACAGAGAGGAAACAATTAATGGAGGGACAGAAAGTCCGGTTTTCCAGGGTTTTCAGGGAAGTGCTGAAAACTAACTAAGTCCATGGAAGGAAAGATCTAGAGGAGGGAGAAAGCTAAAGAGGATGCTAGGTAGCCCATAGCCCACATTCCTAAGACCCCACTGACCGCTCACTGACACCCTGGACTCGCTGCACATTGGAGAAAAGTGTGTGGTGATCCCGAGGAGTGAGCGTGTCCCGAAGAGCCCGGCTCAGGACGAAGGTGTCAGTCAGTAGCCTCAGGGAGCGTAGGTAGGAGGCCTCTGAGGTCACCACCTCAAACAGGCTCTAGACAGGAGAGCAGGGTCACAGTAGAAAGGCCAGTCACCTTACAAGCAGCCCAGGACTCAGGTCACATACTTCCTCTATCCCCTATTCCAGCCTTCTCAGTCCCACCGTGGGGTGGGGTACCCACCTCCTGCATGCGTCTTTCCTGGGGGCTTAGGCTCTCTAAGAGACCACTGGCTCGCACAGCCGGAAGCTCCTGCCACAGAGTATTTCGAGGTCCAGGAAGCCTGGAGAAGGTGGGAGCTTCTCCGGGATTAGCCGGAGAGGGGCCCCCATCCTCACCCACACCCCACAGCTCCTCTGACAGCACAGCTGCTCTGTAAGTCTGGTATAAAGGTTCTGGAAGGTAGACAGAGAACATCAGGGAGGTCCAGGGCCCAGAACCCTTCCCTCCTGCCTGTCACGGGAGAGACCTACCGTCCTGCAGGGGCAGCTCCCACTGCTCCTTCAACACCTCCAACCCTTCCTCATCCCTGTGGAGCAAGAAAAGAAGACTTGTGAGGTCCATTCTGTGGGTGTAGTTCACATGATACCAGAAGAGAGAGGTGCAGAACTCCTGTGCACATTGTATGATGGGATCCTGACAGCTCCCCAGATTAAACCCAGACACGCCTGTGCCGGTTGGAGGGGAGGCCCTAGGCAAATCAGGCCTCAAACATTCCTACTCTTTCAGCTTCTGAGCAGTAGATACTTCCAAGTCACTCCCTCCAGCCCTCACATTGTCTGTGTCTTCTATGTGACTTGGTGAAACTCTGGCAGTCAAGTTCTCACACCTGGGGCTCCCTGTCTCCCGTCTCCTAGTTACCAGCCATTCTCTCAAGCTAAAAACTGATATAGTCAATATTTTTCTAAACAAATGAATATACTTGGATTATTACTTCTAATAAGAAAAAAAAATAGCTGGGCGTTGGTGGTGCACGCTTTTAGTCCCAGAACTTGGAAGGCAGAGGCAGGTGGATCTCTGTGAGTTCAAGGCCAGCCTGGTCTACAAAGCGAGTTCCAGGCTCCAAAGCTACACAGAGAAACCCTGCCTCGAAAAACTAAAAAGAAAAAAAGAAAAAAATTAATCTAAGATGATTAGCAAGGCTGGAAAGCATAAGAGATGGCCTGGTTGCCAAATGGTTTTACCCAACAATCATTTTAATAGAGAGCTTGAGAAATGGCTCAGTGGTTAAGAGCATGTACTACTCTTGCAGAGGACCCGAGTTTGATTCCAGCACCCATATCAGGTGGCTTACAACTACCTGTAACTCAACCTACAGGGGAGATCCTACTGTTTGGGCCTCCATAAGTACCTGCAGATACACACAGGCACACACACACACACACATAATTAAAAATAAATCTTAAATAATTTTAGAGCAGAACTGGTGCATGCCTTTAATCTCAGCACTTGGGAGGCAGAAGCATGTGAGTCTATGTCAATTCCAGGCCAACCTGGTCTACATAGCAAGTTCCAAAGCTACAGAGAAACCCTGTCTCAAATAAATAAATAAAAAGCCTACCCTTAAAAAAAAAAGAAAGAGGGCTGGAGAGATGGCTCAGAGGTTAAGAGCACTGACTGCTCTTCCAGAGGTCCTGAGTTCAATTCCCAGCAACCACATGGTGGCTCACAACCATCCGTTATGAGCTCTGGCCCCCTCTTCTGGTGTGCAGATATACATGGAAGCAGAATGTTGTATACATAATAAATAAATAAATAAAATTTTTAAAAAAAGAAAGAAAAGAAATAACTTTAATAGACTCCCAAGCTAAAATAAAATAAAGCAGAGCTTGGAGCTGCCTTTGGGATTTTTGTTTGTTTGTTTGTTTGTTTGTTGCTTTGCTTTTGGGTGTTGTTTTGAAAATGAACTGTGATATGTATTTCAGGCTGGCCTCAACTCCTGTACCACTAAGCCTAGCTGGAGCCCAGATTTTTTGCAACATTATTCCTCAATAACCCCATGGAACAGAGTCAAGCTTATTTCTATTTCTTAGAGAAAGACTCTGAGCTGGGTATTGGTGGTGCATGCCTTTAGTCCCAGCACTCAGGAGGCAGAGGCAGGTGGATCTCTCTGAGTTCGAGGCCAGCCTGATCTACAGAGTGAGTTCCAGGACAGCCTCCTAAACAATACAGAGAAACCCTGTCTTGAAAAACCAAAAAGACTCTGAGACCCCCAAAAAAGAGAAGTTTTTTAAGGTTGCATAACTAATAAGGAACAGAGATCACATTAGAAACCTGGGCTCCTTGTGTCTGGAACCCTGACCCCTTTCCCCCTCTGCCCGGATAAGGTAGCACCCCCTGGGACTTGAAAGTTAGTCTGTCTGCCTTTGTATGAGAGCATGGTGAGGTGAGGAGAGAAGAGGGGAACATAGGTGGGGAGTTCGGTACCTTCCCTCCAAGGCTGCAGGAGGAACATTCTGAGGTGCTTCTTCAGGCCTGTCCCCTGGAGAGAGAACCCAGAGTGAGCAGAGCTAACCTCCAAGACCCCCAGCCCTTTTCAAGACGCTGAGCCTGAGCCCCAAGACTACCATTCCCCTCAATTCCTGAGCAGCAGCTGGGAGAAGAAAGGAAAAGATCAGGGCTTGGTAGGGTTATAGCTGGCCCCTCAGCCCCCACCCTGTGCCTTCAAAACGCAGAGCTCTTACTACTCCAGGCCCTGTCCCCTCTCCCGGCCTTCCACGTCCTTAACTCCCACGCCTTGTACCTGTTTGGATCCCATCTTCTGAAGGCAGTTCCGGGTCCGGCTGTGGAAGCTCCCCAGAGGTGCTGGTTTCCTGTCTAACTCGAGTTGGTTTGGGGGGCTTGAGGGGAGGCAGGAGTTTGCGCTCAGCAGTGGAGCGGTAAGATGTAAGGACAACTGGAGGGTGACTGATGATGGGTGGGTTGATGCGGGAGCGGGAGGCTCGCAGTGGGGATGCCCGGCAGGGGGCCCTGAGGATGTCATCAGAACTCCCCACAGGCACCCATCGGAGCTCCAGGCCAGGCTTTGCTACATGGCAGACACAGGGGCAGCATGGGGGGCAGGCCAAGACAGCATCTGTGACAGAAGGGCTTGTCTAAGGAAGTTCTTGGGGCCTGGCCCATCCCATCTGAGCTTCTTCCCCCACATAAAGGACCAATCCCAGGTATCTGTAGATCTCATCCACCCTGTCTGCAAACTCTGAGAAAACAAATTTTCCAAACACCAAATCTACTTTAGAAATGCTAGCCTTTTAAAGTGCACCATATGCTTACCTGGAGGGCCATTCTCCTGGGACCCATTCCCGGAAAGGACGGCTTGGAGAGTCTCTCTCTCCCCATTCACATCCGTGCCCCCTTGAGAGCATCGCTCCAGGGAATCTGAGGACTGGGCTTTGCCTTCAGCCCCCCATTCAAACTTGCCGGCCAATCTACGAACCGTGCCAGGGGCCGAGGCAGAGCCATCCTGGAGAGGCATAGGGAGCGTGCCAGGGGCCGAGGCAGAGCCATCCTGGAGAGGCATAGGGAGCGAGGGCACACGTGTTCGTGTTCGGGGAGACCCAGAGGGCTTGGGTGGAGGCACTGGAGAGCAGGGAGCTGGCTCTGGGGAGACAGAACGCCGGGACACTGGGCTGGGACTGGGTGTGCTGGAAGGAGAGTCAGGAGAAGTCTGAGAGTCCAGGCTGGTTCTAGAAACTGAGGGGGGTAGAAGGGCAGGGGGCTTCAGGGAAGACGTGGGGGGCTCCCAGAAGATGGAGGTGCACATTGAGGCTGATGCATCATTGGGAATTTGAGGAAGTGCCTTCGAAGAGGAGCCATTGTGGGGAGGCCCCGGAGAGTGTGGAGCCCGATGGCGAGAAGGGGGGCGCGGGCGGATGATCCGAGGGGGCTTCAGCGTAGGGGGCGTTGCTGCAGGAAGGGACTGGGCTGACATCGTCTTCTGAGTGTTTCCAAGGAGGGAGGTGTTCTGTGGAAGTCATTCCCTGAGGAGGGTGGAGAGAGAACGTGCCCCTCAGTAGCCCCCTGGTGGGTAGTCTGAGGAGGTCTGAAACTTATGTTTTTGAGTCAGGAGAGGACATTGGTACACTTCCCTCCCTTCCTCCTCATCATACTGTCTTTCTTCACTTCTGACCCCTGCTCATCCTACTCCTGGACCCTCCTGGGCAGCTTTTCTTTTTCAAGGTCCTCCTGCCTCAACCTCCAGAGTGCTGGCATTACAGGCTTGTGCTGCCATGGCCAGCTTCTCTACCCTTTGACTTTTGCTGCCAATCAGGTCAGTGGAGCTAAGAACAAGCTGTTGGGGAGGATGGGAAGGCAAGGGTAGCAGAGAATCAGTAAGATGCAGTGAAAAAACTCAGCGTGCTGGTACAGTCACTATGTGTAGGAGTTTATGTGAGTTGGTGTGCACCGTTGTCTAGTGCTGAATGAGCGAGAGTTGAGTGTGCCCTGCGGAAGCGAGGGGTCAACACTGGCTTGTCACAGACATATCAAGAAGTGTGTGTGTGGTGTGAGTATGGTGTACATGTTCTTGTCTATCTGGGTAAAGCATGTGTGTACACACATAAACACACACAGGCACGCACACGTGCAAGCCAGTGCCTGAGCCAGGGATGTATCACTGTTTCCCTGCTCTGACTGCCCCTCCCCCTCCCATTTCCCAGTTCCTCTCTCCGGACTCTCCCTTTCCGGATTATTTTTAGTCTCCTTTTCCTGCCATGAAGATTCCTGGCGCCTCTGACCACAGGAGACCAGGGGCCACAGCCTGGTCTCTTCTGCCCCCATCCTCTTATCCTTGCCACACCTGGGTCTGGTCACAGAGAGAAGCTCCAGTGGAAGGCTGGGTCCTGCCCGGATGCCTGGGATGTGGCCACAAGCCCCGGCCAAAGCATAGAACCAACAGCACTGGGACCGGGGACCTGTGCTTCTCTTCCTCTTGACAAGGAGGATTCGGACCAGAGCTGGGACACAGGAGAGCCCCTAAATTCCCTGTATGATCAGAAGTCATAGCCTTCCAGGTCCTCAGTGAGGTTCTTGAGAAAAGATGGGCATTGGGGACCCCTTAGATTGCAGCTCATTCAGTGGCCCCTACCTGCTGCCTGGAAGCCCCTCACTGAGTGGTCTCCTGCTCCCAGCCTTTGCCCCTTCAGGGAACTCACTCTCTCCCATCCCAGGTACCTGCTTTTGCTTCCTTCCCCACTCCCAGCTCAAGCCTTTTACAGGGCTGAGACAGTTGGGGGACCCCAAGCACTTACCCTCCAGTTCCCTCCACTCTCAGTCACCTCCTAGGGTTGAGTGAGTTGGGGCAGGAAACAGGAATCCGATCCTCCTCCCAACCGGACACCCCCCCACCAACCTCACCACACTCCACATGCGCACACTGGGCCCTAGAGGATGTGAGGAATCCCGCGTCCAAGGTGTCAGAGGTTAGAAAAGGCTGGCACTCAGGTATGGAGAGAGAGCACTTTGTGCTCGCACCCGCACCTGTAGGGCTGTGTGGCTGGCAAGAGTTCCGGTGAGAATGGGGTGGTCCTGGCAAGCTTGGCTGGCAGTACCACACGCCCATCCTCATACCTCCCTCTCAGCTAAGGGGTGTCTCTGGCCATCGTTCTACCTTTTGCACAACTGTCTGTCTCCCCAACTTCCAACCTATTGCCTTGGTGTGAGCCAACCACACTTTGTACAGAGGGAACCTCGCTTCTCCCCGCTCCCATCCGCAGCCCCCGCCCCAGGAATTACCTTTATGGTTTGGGGTAATTTCTGTTTCCAGCCTATCTTCCTGGCCCCTTGGAGCACCAAATGTTGCCCAACATCTCCAAATAAATGTCCCTGCTTCTCTGGGGCGGGAACTGGAGGTCCAGATTTCCATCTCCACAGAGGAAGCCAGTTCCTCAGCCCCACCCAGCCATTGTGTCAGGCCAGGGGTGGGGGTGTGGAGGGAGGGGGGGAAGGGGATCTTCCAGATTCCCGGGGTGACCTGTCTGCGTTCCCAGTTTCTCCTCTGACTCCCTGTCCCACTGGGAGGTGTCCACAGTGACTGGCCAGGAAGTCATGCCTGGGAAGGACAGGTTGTGGAGTGCCCCCCACCACATACTTTAATTTGCTCTCTGATTGGGAAACTGAGTTTCCAGGGCTGGGAGTGTGTGATAAAAACAGCTGAAAGGGGTGGAGTGAACCACACCCCAGCCTGGGAAGGAGATTGATGGAAGTTGCAGTGGGCTGGTCAAGAGAGGCCCCCATTACACGTCATTGGCATGGGCACGCATCCATAAATAAATACCAAGCCAGGCTCTGAGAAGTGGGTCCGGTAAGCTACTATTGAAAGACGTTTTAAACTCCTTTTTGCTCAATGTAAGCAATGTACCCTGTTTCCTAGCTTCTACCTTCAGGCCTGCTCCTAACTAAGGATCTTCAGAGTTGTGCCTGATGCCTGGAAATCTTCCCAAGACATCTCCTTGAAGCATTCCTTCACCTCCTCTGGCAGTTGGAAGAAACCCTCTCAAACAGGTCTGCCTGGCCACTCTAAAATTTCAATCCATTGGGCTATTTGGTGAGGCCTTGCCTCAGAAAAAAAAAAAAAAGAGGGGTGGGGGGACGGGCTGTGGTGGTGTATGCCTTTAATTCCAGCACTCGGGGAGGCAAAGGCAGGTGGATCTCTGTGAGTTCGAGACCAGCCTGGTTTACGAGAGCTAGTTCCAGGACAGCCTCCAAAGCCACAGAGAAACCCTGTCTCAAAAAAAAAAAAAAAAAAAGGAAAAAAGAAAAGGCAATCCAGGTTAAAGGTGTGGATCATCAGTAGACCTCCTGTCAAGCATTTTGTGAGGCTCTGAGTGTTACAAAGGAAAAGAAAGGAAACGATTAAGGGGACTAGAGAGATGGCTCTGTGGTTAAGAGCTCTTCCTAAGGACTTGAGTTCAGTTCCCAACAGGTTGTGGCTCACCTATAACTCCAGTCACAAAGGATCCCACAGACACCCTCATCTAGCCCCAAAGGGCACCCACAGACAGCATACATACACATAGACACACACATGCACAGGAATAAAAATAATCATTAAAAAAAAAAAGAGGGATTGGAGAGATAGCTCAGCAGTTAAGAGCACTGACTGCTCTTCCAGAAAACCCGGGTTCAGTTCCCAGTACCCAGGTGGCAGTTCACAACTGTCCATAACTCCAGAATCCAACACACTCACACAGACATTCATGCAGGCAAAATACCAATGCACATAAAAATAAAAATAAATTATTAAAAAGAGAAGAAGGAAGTAAGGTCTGAGAGATGGCTCAGCAGCTAAAGCACACTGCTGTTCCAGAGGGTGCAGGTTCAGTTCTCCGCACCCACACTGAGCAGCTCGTATCTGCCTGCATCTCCAGTTTCTGGGGGAATCTACCACTCTGGCCCTCACAGGCACCTGTACTCATATGCACATATTCATATAAAAAGCACGTACACACATGCTCATACACACAATTAAAAATAAAATATTTTTCAAAAGAAGGAGCCAGGCGGGATGGAGAGATGGCTCAGCGATTAAGAGCACAAACTGCTGCTCTTCCAGAGGTCCTGAGTTCAATTCCCAGCAACCACATGCTGGCTCACGACCATCGGTTATAAGATCTGGTGCCCTCTTCTGGTGTGCAGATATACATGGAAGCAGAATGTTGTATACATAATAAATAAATAAAATCTTAAAAAAAAAAAGAAGGAGGAGGAGCCAGGTATAGCGGCACATGCCTTTAATCCCAGCACTTGAAAGGTGGAGGCAGGTGGATCTCTAGGAGATAAAGGCCAGCCTGGTCTACATAGTTCCAGGACAGCCAGAGACTCTGTCTCAAAAAAATACAATAAAACAAGAAAATAAGAAGGAAATAAACAAAGGAGAAAAAAGAAAGATGGCTAGGGGTGGTAAAGCATGCCTACAATCCCAGCACTTGAGAAAAAGAAATAAATTTCTATCCACTATACCATACCATATTTCCACGCTTCCTTTGTGTGTGTGTTACATGTGTATTTTAGTGTGTTTGCACATGTGCGAGTTTGCATGGGTTCATATGCATATGGCTGCACATGTGATTAGAAGTCAGAGGTAGAGGGGCTGGAGAGATGGCTCAGAGGTTAAGAGCACTGACTGCTCTTCCAGAGGTCCTGAGTTCAATTCCCAGCAACCACATGGTGGCTCACAACCATCCCTTATGAGAGCTGGTGCCCTCTTCTGGTGTGCAGATATACATGGAAGCAGAATGTTGCATACATAATAAGTAAATCTTTAAAAAAAGCTTCCTTTAAAAAAAAAAAAAGAAGTCAGAGGTAGACATGGTGTGTCTTCCTTGATGGCTCATCATCTTATATATATTGAAACAAGGCCTCTCACTAAACCCTGGAGCTTGCTAGTTCAGCTAGCCAGTTTACCTGAGAGGCCTCTGGGATTACCTGGCATTCGTGTTGATCTAAACCTAGGTCCTCACATTTGTGCATCAAGCAGTTCACCCTTGAATCATCTCTCAGCCCCAACATTCCTTCTTTCCATGGCAATCCTACTGGTACCACCACGTATGCTGCATTTACACACTGTGTTATACTTACAGTGAATCCTCTCTTTATATTAGAAAGTAATCCCAAAGACGGGATCTCTATTTGTTTTATTTAATGATGTAATGTATCCCAAAAGTTCTGAAACTAGGTCAGGTATACAATAGGTACTCAACAGAAGCTTGCTTTATTTATTTATTTATTTATTTTGGTTTTTCGAGACAGGGTTTCTCTCTGTAACTTTGGAGCCTGTCCTGGAACTAGCTCTGTAGACCAGGCTGGCCTCAAACTCACAGAGATCCACCTGCCTCTGCCTCCCGAGTGCTGGGATTAAAGGCGTGCGCCACCAATACCTGGCCAGAAGCTTAATTTTTACTTTGTTTTGTTTTTTGAGAGAAGGGTCTCTCTAGGTTGCCCAGTCTGTTCCTGAACTCCTGGGC